GTTCACCTGCTCCCTCATCCCATCCATCCCAATTTAGATCTCCCACTACAAGGAGAAACCAGTTTTGTCCTATGCACCACACTAGTCACTCGCTGAATAGCTGCACTGGGTTTGCAGCGAAATCACTGACCCAACAAAAAGAGTTGCTAAGGGAGTACCAATACTGCTACAAGTAATGTGAATCCAAACACCCATCCAAGTACTGCACAGCCAAGGTGCAATGCGACTTATGCCATAGTGACCAGCACCCAACTGCGCTGCATCCAGATTCCGAGCTGTCACTGCAGATATCTCGCAGCCCTCCTTCAGACAAGGAGCCTCAACGTAACATGCAGGGCTCCTCGGCAGACTGCCAAATCGCAACCAAAACCAAGGATGAGTGTCAACTGCATAGCACGATGCGCCGACTCACCATGCCCTTGTTCATGTCTTCCCATCTGTTTAGCCAAAGTGTACCCTGAAGGACGCCCTGAAGATGCTGTGAAAATGTACTTGCAGATAGACATTCAAAGCACCTGCACCCTGGTCACATTCTTTGACCTCTTTGAGGTGTAACAGGATGAACTTCCCTTCACTGTATCAACGTGCCATGGACCAAGAAGCACGGCAGGGAGGAGAGCTACTGGACTCTGCATAGAGTCATTGGATGGAAGTTCCCACTACTGCCCATATTTGGTTCCCACTACTGCCCATATTTGAATGCGATGAGATACTGAATGACCGCAGTCAGATCGCAACACCTGAGGTCATAAGTAGCCTGCCTCACCTACAGCACCTGGCTCATCACTTTCCCGCTCTAGATCTGGAGGCTGAGATCCTACTCTTGAAATAATGCTCCACGCGCCTTTCTCTTCTCCGAGTCAGTCAGCGGCCCTGTAGATGGCCCAGTGGCCATCAAATCTCCACTAGGATGGGGGATCGTAGGAATTGTCAATGACGATCGGATGCAGGCTCCAACCCAGGCAAATGCCTTAGCTCCATCCATTCCAACAGTCTTCCGATGCCCTTTAGCACCATCGAAAACAAGAATGCCGTTCCAGAATAAAAGGCCGCCGGTGATCAGTACACTTTCACTAGGACACCCTAAACGGCCGCCAACCAACCACCAGACATCCACTAAGATGCTCTACACGGGCATATGCCTCCGCAACACCCTTTCCAACAGTTTCCCGACACCCTTTGACACCGCGGAAGCAAGAGTACCATTCCAATCCTAAAAGGCTGCCAGGAGCGACCACCAGACTTTCACCTTTGCTACCAAGAGTACCTGTCAACCCTAAAAGGCCGCCAGAAGTGACCACAA